TCATAGCTCAAGTCTTTAGCCCAAAGTTCTTGCGTGGTCCTTTAGGTCTTAGCATTTTGGTTTCTTATGATCGTTTTCCTAATGTTCATTGCAGGAAGGATCCATTCTGTGAGTTTCAACTTCCTATAAGAATGCTTACTTTGCTTCATGCTCCTTCGTCCCTTCCATGGGTACCAGGACGGGGAACAGAGCCAAGATTTTTTGTTTAGGGGGTAAACTTGCAAAACATATATGATAATTAAAGAATTTTTTTTGCATATAACATAATATTAATATTTTAACATATTCACAATCGATTTTAGAAATATATAACCAAAATATGGTTGCTCTTCGATTCAAGAACAATTCATATCAAAGTAAAAAGAAAAAAGAAATCCATATATTTTGATATAATTTAAAAAAATTAAATTAGAGAAAAATTAACCTCTATCTTGTTATGAAGCTTTGCTTTTATAATTGTTATAGCTGAAAAGGTGAATTTAATGGTTATTGATGACATTGAAAGGATGCAAATTAGACTTTCCAAACTCTACTATCTTTGGCATAATTCATCCATAATATGTAGTCATGTTATGAAAATTATGATGTTTGAACACATCAAGCTCATTATGTTGTGATTCATATTCCAATTGAATTTTTCCTTGGTCAAAATTGTAGATGTTTTTAGTATTGAATGATTTTAATGTATCCTTAGGATTTAAATTTATGCTTAATATAAAAAGCTCTATTGCTTGCTTGCTTAATTTATTATTTAATTCTTTCAATTGATAACTTATGAAAACTTAAATATACTAACATGATAATGATACTCAACTGTCACAAAAAATTTTGTGTTAACAAGACCAAATTATATCAAAGTAAAAAATAATTCAGATTAAAAATTTCAATAACTTTATTGTTACAAAAGAAGTAACTTTTTATAGAAGACCATCCCAGTTATAATTTCTTAAATTTTGAATAAGTGATTGTTAAAGTTAGATTTTATAAATTTCAGTTATACTTGAAGGGCCGGAAATATATGGCCTAGCTTGTCTGGTTCTTTTTTTTGTTCTTCTGTTTCCAAAATAAAACGCTTTTGTAGAATAGTTTGTTAGAACAAGTTTTGGAAACAAGAAATCAAAAAAATTCTGCTTGACTCATTATTTTGAAAAATATATCTAAATTGGTGAAATAAAAGTCAAAAAATTATTTATTTTATTAACATAATTATCATGAATGAAAGCGTGATATTTTCTAACTTTTCTTTGATTTTGCAGAACAAAAGTAAAAATATATCTAAAAGATGTTCTTATTTTTTAAAATTTTTTAAACAAATGTTTAAATTTTTGTTTTTTTATAAAAGATAACATTTTTTTCAAGAACCAACAATTTTTTAAACCCAAGCATATTTTTTTCATTTCCATTGTTCGAAGGATCAAACTCAAGAATTAATGGTTAAGGGTATTTGTTTATTTTTATTGGTTAGTGTAACGTGGGTTTGTTCTTGCGTGTTTCATTTTAGACCTCGGAGATTAGATCCATAATCTTCTAGGCTTTTGTACCGGTATCGTTTTATTGTACTTTAATAAAATGTCTTTACCAAAAAATAAAATAAAATAAAATTTTTCTGTTCTTCAAGGGAAAAAAAACATTGTCTATAATCTAATGTAATAATTAGAAAACTGAAAAATCATTTAATATATAATCAATTGAGAATTTAAAATTACCTGCTTGACCTTTAAAAGAATAAGTGGATAAGGAACTAATATATTGCGTGTGATGACTTTGTTCTTCATGTCATTGGGGTGTTTGTTATTAAGTCACAAAAGTTTGAACTTTGAATATATATTTTATTATTAGCCTCCTTTATATTTATTTTAGTGGAAAAATTAGGGAGAATAACATAAAAGTACCTCCCTAATAGACAAATAATAATAAAGTACCATGAATTATATCAATTATTTGAAGTCCCAATGGTCTTCTTCGGCATAATTTTTTTTTTTTTGACAAAGTTACTTTTTTAACCTTATGATTAAAAATTCAGACTATGTCATTTTGGACCAGGGAGAGCACAAAATCCATAGCCTGAATGTTTGTTTCTCTTATTAATGATAAGGTTAAAAAAGTAATTTTGTTAAAAAAACTTATGCCAAAGAAGTCCCTTGCAACTTCATAATAATTAATACAATCCATAGTACTTTATTGTCATTTGTTTATTTGGGACGTATTTTTCTATTATTCTCACAAAAATGTAATGAAGATTTTGTGGTTTTTATTGACAAATTTCTTATTATCATATATTGCATGCAGGTTATAAATTGGAGGAAATTATTTGGGCTCCCTCACAAGTAATTTTGTTAAAATTATTTAAAATTCTCATTTTTGAAATAACATTTAATATATTATTACTTTGTTTTGATAAAATTGACTTTCTTTAACTTGCATTTAAAAAAATGTATATCTCAAAAAAATAACATAAAATAAAAAAGCATGCTTTTTTCCATTATTTTTAACAAATATGTGAGTAAAAGGGATTTTGTTTTAGTGAGTATCTTAAATACACTCACTTAATGAGTATCTTAATTATAACTGTTGGATTTTATCGAAACTTGAATATATATTTCCCTCTAAAAATACAAAACAATTAATACAATCAAAACACTTCTTACTCATAGTGTTTCTTCCAAAAGTTTGAGTTTTGATGAGTTTTAAGTATTATATGATAAAATTATCCAACAATTGTTCAATTAAATCAAACCATTGTTATTGTGCCATATGAGATATACTTATTGAGTGAGTTTATCTTAGACACTCTTTGAATTGAAATCTAAGTAAAAGTTTAGCTTTCTAGCACAACTTTAGAGATATTTTGTTTACACTTTTAGTCACAACTTTGTTAATCAAATGAAATTTGAATGGCTTATATATGCATATTTTTTATTTTATTTTTTATTTTGAATCAGAAATTTCAAATAAAATATGTAACTTTTCACCTAATAGTTTTATAAAGAATGATATTTTAATTACTCACTCCATTCAAAAATGGAAAATATTTTTTGAGGAGTTGAATGTCTAAAAATGTAAGGCATTTTTTATCTTTCAAGGTGTAGTCATTATCTTTTTTTCAAAAGTGTCCTTATCAATAAATGACTTTATATTTATTGTAGGATGTTTAATAGAGATAAATATGAAAAGATAGAGCTAATTTGAAAGTAGATAACTACTTTATTAAGGGTGAGATTCAGTTAAAAATCCCTAACATTTTTTAACGGAGGGAGTATAGTGTAAAATAAAATTGAATGAACATTTGACTAAACAATTAAAATTAGTCAAAACTTAGCTTGTTGTAACTAAATTTGTGTTTTTTTTCCAAAAAAAAAAATCATACCACTTTAATAAAAAAAACAATTCACTCTATAAACAGAATAGTGGATAATTTCCCAAAAAAAAAAGTATATTAATGTATTGTGGAGACCATGGTTTTCTTGCACGAGAAAAAATGTTGGATTTTATATTGATCAATTCAGGTGGTGCAGCCATCATGATTTTAATATTATATAGTTTAATAATAATAATAATTTATATTACGATTCAAGGGAGACACTCACGGTATAGCTGGTTGTTTCAAGGTTTGACTACGATTAATCGGAAAGCCAAATATGCCTTCGGTCAATGCTCAATTTGGTTAATAAATTCATCGACATCAAGTAAGAATTTTGGCCAAAAAAAGTTTTAAATTTGCCATAAATAATTTTATATCATTAATTTATTTAAAAATGACAAGAAAAAAACTTAGTTATACATAATGCAAGTGTAAATTTATTTTACTTCACTTTTTTTTTCCACACTAAGAACGCTTTCTGACAATTGTAAATATATAAAAACTAATTTCCCTCAACATATTAAGGCCAGAGGGTGGTAAAATTCACCCAACTAAATTTGCTCCATATACAAACAAAAATTAGGAATTGAAACCCACAAATATTTATTTAAGATAAGATTATATATTTTTTTTAAATTCTCTGGCATAAAATCGGAGTTTTATTTTCACAAAATAAATTCAATTCCTCCACATTAAAGAATAATTAAAAGGATATTTTAATCCAATTTTTTTATTTTAGATATAATTATTATACTTAACTAACTTTTTAAAATTATGTGAAATGATTAAAATTTACTTATATTTAAATATACATGAAGCAAAGATTAGATATTATAAACTCTCTTGCCGAAAATGATTAAAATATTGTATATTCCCTTTACTCCGCAATTTAAGGCATTGCTAACTATTTTATAATTCTAAAAAAATGTTGGTTAAAACTTGAAATCTCAATCTTTCTAAAAATTATATATATATTTTCAGTTGTACTCTCATTAAATGTCTCACATAAATACTTTGATAATGACAACTATAATTTCAATAGACTACTTTTTTTAAAAAAAAACAGAAATATAAATGATATAAGGCTATAATTGGAAAAAAAAAAAATTTAACAACTATCTAATGTCCTATATTTTAAACTAAGCAAGGCTTCTTAAAAATACTTTTAGAATATGGATGAGAGGGAATAGTGATTCACTCTTCTCAAAAGTATAGTAAATTACCAAGCGTGCTATAAAAAAAAAAAAAACAAAGAAAAAAAAATCCAAGCGCTCTCTGTCATCCCCGTTGTCTGAAAATGGATTATGCCATCAAGATGACAATCGAAAAGGCTAAAAAGTCAAAGACAATTCATCGTGTCCACTTAATCCTTAAAAATCAATGCTGCGACCAAACACACCAACCATGACAGAACATTCAACAAGTGCAATCCAGTTAGTTCATTAGAAAAATATTAAAAAACAGAGGGAAGGTCCAAAACCATCAGAATCCACAAAATGCTAGGAGATAGATTATTGTGCAATTCAAATTTAAATTAAATTAAGCCATGTTTATCAGATTGACATCGACAACAAAAACTGCCATATTCCCATGCAAAGTCAACAGCATAGACATCATTCATACATGCAAGAAACCAGAGCCCCGTTTGAATCTCCAGAAAACAGCAGAAATCTGAGCAGAAAAAAGTGAGGGGGAGAGAGAGATCCACATTCAGAAAAATGGACAAGCCTAGAATTGATGATTCCCTTGGAGTTCAAGCTGCATGCCTGGTTTTCTTGGCACTTTCTGCAGGAACTTATGGAGAGACAGAAACAGAGGCCCTTCTCCGGTGGAAAGAGAGTCTTCCAGATCAGGCAATTCTCGAGTCATGGGTCTCTCCAGCACAGAACTCAAGTGCAGCTCAAAGCCCATGTTCATGGCGTGGAATTAAATGTGATAATTCTTCAGTAAATGTGATTGAAATAAACTTGGCTTACACTGGCCTTGAAGGTACCCTACAAAACTTGAACTTCTCTGCATTTCCAAATCTTCTTCGTCTTGATCTCAAAACAAACAACCTTGTCGGAAGCATACCAGAAAACATTGGGGTGCTCTCTAAACTGCAATATCTTGACCTTTCCACGAATTACCTCAATGGCACTCTACCTATTTCAATGGCTAATTTGACTCAAGTTCACGAGCTTGATGTTTCACGAAACAATATCACTGGGACATTAGACCCTCGTCTTTTTCCTGATGGTTCTGATCAGCCCAAGACTGGACTGATAGGGATCAGAAATCTTCTCTTCCAGGACACCCTGCTTGGTGGTAGAATTCCAGATGAAATAGGGAATATAAGAAATTTAACTGTGCTAGCCTTAGATGGGAATAGCTTCCATGGACCTATTCCTCCATCTCTTGGGAACTGTACACATTTAAGTGTTCTTAGAATGTCTGGAAACCAACTCTCAGGCATGATTCCTCCTAGTTTTGGTAGATTGACTAATCTATCTGAGGTGTTCTTACACATAAATAATTTAGATGGTCCTTTACCACAAGAATTTGGAAACATCTCATCTTTAACTGTCCTGCATCTTGCTGAAAACAACTTCACGGGAGAGCTACCACCGCAAGTGTGCAAAGGTGGTAAACTTGTCAATTTCAGTGCTGCCTACAATAGTTTCAGTGGCCCGATCCCAATAAGCCTAAGAAATTGCTCGTCCTTATACAGGGCTCGGATGGAATATAACCATCTAAGGGGTTATGCAGATCAAGATTTTGGAGTGTATCCTAATCTTACTTACATGGATTTCAGCTACAATAACGTGCAAGGTGAGCTCTCTTCAAATTGGGGAAGCTGCAAAAATTTGCAATATCTTGGTGTGTCTGGAAATTCAATAGGTGGCACGATACCTGGTGAGATTTTTCAGTTGAACCAACTTGCAGAGCTAGATCTGTCTTCCAATCAAATATCAGGAGAGATTCCTCCACAAATAGGGAATTCCTCTAGTCTTTTCACTCTCTCTTTGAGTAACAACAAACTTTCAGGATTGATACCAGCAAGCATTGGAAAGTTGTCTAATTTGCAAATGCTAGACCTGTCAGATAACATGCTAAAAGGATCAATCCCTTCTGAGATAGGTGATTGCTCAAACTTGCTGAGTTTAAATTTGAGCAACAATGCCTTGAATGGAACAATCCCCTACCAAATTGGAAATCTGGCAGCCTTACAAGATCTGTTGGACTTCAGTTACAATTCACTTTCTGGCCAAATTCCATCTGATCTTGGCAAGCTAAAAAATTTGATAAGCTTGAATATCTCTCACAACAATCTAACTGGTTCTATCCCTAACTCCCTCGGCGAAATGTTGAGTTTGTCAAGCATCAACCTGTCCTACAACACTTTGGAAGGTCATGTACCTAATAGCAGCATATTTAATTCTTCCTATCCAGTGGATTTACGTAACAACAAAGGGTTATGTGGGAATATACAAGGCCTGCAACCTTGCAATGTCTCAGTCAGAGAACCTGGAGGCGGAAGCAACAAAAAGAAAGTCATAGCAGCAATTGTTGGCTCTGTGGGAGGTGCACTACTTGTTTCATCAGTGTTAGTTTGCATTTTTGTTTTCGTCTGTAAGACCAGAGCTATGAAACAGAACTCTGCACCTGAGAGAAAAAGTCCATTTTCAATATGGTATTTCAATGGTAGAATTGCTTATGAAGACATAATTGAAGCCACTAAGAATTTTGATGACACTTACTGCATTGGTGAGGGAACATTAGGAAAAGTTTACAGAGTGGGGATGCCAGGAGGTCAGGTAGTTGCTATAAAAAAGTTAAAATGCGAGGTAGACAGTTTAGACATTGAAAGTATAAAATCCTTCAAAAGTGAGATAGAAGCCATGACTGAAACACGTCACCGGAACATTGTGAAGTTGTACGGGTTTTGCTCAGACCCCTTGCACACATTTTTGATTTATGAATACATGGAAAGAGGGAGCTTAAGTGATATGCTGAGAGATGACAAAAAGGCTACTGAGTTAGAATGGCCAAAGAGAGTGGGAATTGTGAAAGGAGTTGCGCAAGCTTTGTCTTATATGCATCATGATTGTAACCCACCAATAATCCACAGAGACATATCAACCAAAAATGTATTATTGTCCCAAAATCTGGAAGCTCATGTCTCGGACTTTGGCACTGCAAGATTCCTGAAGCCAGATTCACCTATTTGGACTTCCTTTGCCGGCACATATGGCAATGCTGCTCCAGGTTAGCTTCATTTTCTATGTCTGACTCTGTTTAGCTTGATATTAACTTTCGAGAGTTACCCTCACAACTTGCAAGTTCTTACAAAGACAGAATTACATTTTGACTACAAAATATAATCTACAATTTCTACAGAATTTTCTAGCTTGCAAATTCTCAAGTCACATTAGTTCCATACTTTTATTTTGTTAAATTTCTTCCAGCATGGGTTACTTTTAGCAACTGAACAACATCATTTCATATTGTCTTTCTGTCATGAATGTAATTGGCTAATGATTTTTTCCAACTGGCTGGTGCAGAGCTTGCATACACAATGGCAGTGACTGAAAAATGTGATGTGTTTAGCTTTGGTGTTTTGGCCTTTGAGATTCTCATGGGAAAACATCCTGGAGATCTAATTTCCCACATACAAACATCAAGTGCCCAGAACACCAACTTCAAAGAGATTTTAGACCCACGTCTGTCACCTCCTACAAATCAACAAAAATTAAAGGAATTGGCCTTGATAGGTAATCTGGCTATGTCTTGTCTACAAACCAACCCTCAATCTCGACCAACTATGCGAAGCATAACTCACATGCTTGACATGTAGAGAGCTCATGATTCATGATTGAAGTATACTTGCTTGTTTTCTCAATGAGTTTGACTAGACAAGTGGTTGGACTTTTTCTTTCATTTTTCTTTATTTCTTTTTTTTTTCTTTCTTTTTTTTTTTGGAGGGGGGTTTATACGGCGCTGTGGATTGATTTTGCTGAACAGTGTGATTGGGTTCGTAACAGAACAGTTGGAGTGTTTTCTCCGAGCATGGATTACGATTCCAGCAGCATAAACATAGCAAACATAAACAGAAAATTGCTCACTATTTCAGTATCATTTACACTTTTTTCTGGGCAAAAGTTGCAATTTTTTTACTTATAAAAATTCATCTCAAACCTTACCAAAAGACTTGACAAACTCCAATTGGAGCCAGGCGAGTCTAGGAAAAAACAAGCAGCATAGGCTAAAGGCCTAGAAAAAACAATCAGCCTGAGCATTTTTTTTTTAATAATTTAAAAGGACAGGCACTAACAGCATGATGTTATAAGTATGATGAACCTGCAACTTCCTGCTTAAGGAGAAGTTCCAACTTCCAAGCCACTAGGCCATAAGACAATTGATGACTTTTCAACTCTTTCATTTCCAAGATAGGATTCAAAGTAGGTAGAGAGAAATAAGAAAGATAAATCTTTTATTAAAATATGAAATCAGAATCTAATTTCATAAAGTAATAAAGAGAAGAGAAATATTTAATAGAAGATGAGCAAGAATCTTTATCTCATACATCTAATAAAGCCAAGGAGAATCTCCATTAATATAAATAAATAATTATTTTATTTCCAGATCATTTCTACATGATATGTACCTCCATTTATAGACAAAAAAATAACTAATAATTCCTAAAAAAAGACTCACTAATCCATAACTCAGATAATGGCGCATAACTACCTGAAATAAATAAAAAAACAAAGTTATTGACTTAATCTACAAGTACCCACTACTCCTGAATTTGAGGGCCATTAAAACAGAAAATAACCTAAAAAATATTATTAAATAGAAGATAGCTTAAAATAATATTTATTCCTAATATATCTCTACCCAAATTACCCATTACCCAACCATTAATAGTATTCTATCAGCAATGAACACTACATAAGCCAAAACTCAAGAATAGGTCCAGGGTTCAATCAGGAAACCTTAACCTCATGCATTTGGTCATAAGAATACCATACCCATAGTTCAATTTCACAAAAGGATGCAGAAACTTGTCCAAAAACACACAATTTTTGCTCCACATCACCCTGCTTAGAAACCCTAAGTTTTGCATGGAATAGCCATGAAAATGCTCCAAAACTCAAATCCTAAGCAATACCAACTTGCAAAAGTAGAAGCAAGACTCAACTGATTAGCTTACAAGCCAGAGTTTCAAATCACAATGATCGGGTGCTGGTCGTGGCCGTACATATATACATACACATATAATTCCCCCTTGCCAATCACCTCCCAATCCTTCCAAGTAAACCATTTAATTAGTCCCAAAATTATAAATCAACAATTAAAAATGGATTAAAGTCAGGGATGTTACACTAAAGTCTTTTAGGACTTCTCTATACAGTATTAGTGATTACCATATTAATGGTTTAACATCCAAGCACACAAGTTCAGGGCATAGAACTTCAAACATATACATCGGTTACAAAACTTAGACCACAATATCCATTACAAAAGTCCTAATTTCATAGATTAGAAACATGTACAGCCTTTATCAACAGCATAACCATTCAGCATTCATTGATACAGAATTCAAAAGTGCTTAAACAAAATAATCATATACATTCTCATCAGAAGATAGGTAATCTCCCAAGTTATATACACTCTCAAAGCATGAATTTTGTTTCTTCGTCTCTAAATGGTGGTTTTGGTATGGAAGTAAGAAGTATCATAATCTCCCTTCTTTGTCCACATAGCACATAATTTCCAATGCATATTTCTACTACAAGTGAATCCTTCCATCTCTCATCTCAAAACCAGGGATGTTTAGTTGCATGACCTATCATAAGCCCTACAACCCTCATCACTCCTAATTTGTCGGTCAACAAGTAATTCAATAATCCCCAATTTAAAACATGGATAACATTTAATCACAAATCAAGAGAAAACAACCATTATTTCATGATTAAGGTCCAAAAAGGTATTTTAAAATTAAAAGCCATCTAATTATAGAAAACGAGAACTTATATACTTAGCCTTGTATACTTAAAGCGCATGTTTCCAATTAAATAAAAACATGTGGATCTTTTATACACATATTATTTATTCCATAACAAACTCTTGTGATACATATATTATTTATTCCATAACAAACTCTTGTTATTAATATTATCAACACTTTAAGATCCACTTGTTTTGATTTGATTGGAAAAAAAGTATATTAAGTAAATAAGGCTAAGTTCCTAAGTCTCTCCCTATAGAAAAATAAAAGACTGCAAACTGTACTCCAATATTTTCATCAATATACAAAGTAAAATTAAAATCAAATACAACTATTTATTTACTTTTTATTGATGTGAGATGTGACATCAATGCAAAATAAATACCCTATCATCTATCATTGATTAAATATATGATTAATTGAGAATTTAAAATTAGCAACTTGACCTTTCAAAGAATAACTGTTCAAAGAACACATTTATGTGGATGACTTGTTCCTCATGTCAACTTGGGGTTTGGAAGTCAAAAAAATGTGAAGATATATTTTATATTTGTCTTCCATATAATTTTTTATTTAAAAAAAAAAATCTAAGGGACTAGGGAGATTTCACGTGGTTTTGGTTGCCAAATTGGTATTATATATTGCTCAAAGGTTTTAAATTAGACGAATTAATTTGGGCCTTCACATAGTTTTGTTACAATTATTTAAAATTTGCATTCTCAAAATCTAATTTTAATTTATGTTATTTAGTCAATATTTTTGGTCAATAAATTCATCAAATTTCAAGTTAATGAACACTGAATCATACATAATTGAATTATTTAAATTTCAGATTATTTACAAATAGAAATTTTTATATTCAAAACTTAACAATAGAGCCTTTAAATTTTGTAAACTTGTGTAAATAATTTTATTCATTAATTTGTCGTTTAAGAAATGGCATGTAAAAAGTTACTTATACATAATATAGATTTATTTCATTATTAATTTTTTTAGTGAGACACTAGAAGCATCGTTCACTAGCATTAGATAATCTCTTTCAGAGTATTAAAAGCAAAATGTAAGCATCTCCCAAGTAGGAATATATATAAAGGTTGAGAATTGAATCCTAACTACTTGTTTAAAGAACAAGAATTCAATCATTCATGCCAACTATTTGTAATAGTTAATGTATAAATGATACGGTAAACTAACTATAAGAAAATTTAACAAGATCAAGACAAATGCACAAATACATTGTATAGAAGCCAAAGAGAAAACTACTGACTAAAAGTCAAGATAATTCATCATTTCAACTTAAGCCTTAAAAACTAAAGGCATGACCGAACATACCAACCAAGACAGAATATTTTAACTAACACACCCCTTTCAGTTTATGAGAAAAATATAATAAAACAGTGGGAAAGGTCAAGTCCAAAACCATTAGAATCAACAAAAGGCTCAAATATAGAATATTATATAACTGAAAAATTATATTATACCATGTCCATCAAATTGACAAGTGACAACAAATGCTGCCTTGTTCCCATGCAAAATTAAGTGTATAGACGGTAGACTCAAATCTAAGAACTAGAGTCCTATTTAAATCCCCTGAAAACAGCAAAAGTCTATGAGAGAGAAACAGTTTCAGAAAAATGGACAAGTACAGAATTGATGCTTACCTTGCAGTTCAAATTACATGTGTGGTTTTCTTGGCAATTTGTTTAGGAACATATGAGGAGACAGAAACAGAAGCCCTTCTCAGGTGGAAAGAAAGTCTTCCGAACCAGCCAACTCTGGACTCATGGGTCACTCCAGCACATAACACAAGTGCAGCTCAAAGCCCATGTTCATGGTGTGGAATAAGATGTGATAATTCTTCAGAAAGTGTAATTGAAATAAACCTGGCATACACTGGTCTTGAAGGTACCCTTCAAAACTTGAACTTCTCTGCATTTCCAAATCTTCTTTGTCTTGATCTTAAAACAAATAACCTTGTTGGCAGCATACCAGAAAACATTGGGGTTCTCTCTAAGCTGCAATACCTTGACCTTTCAACAAATCACCTCAATGGCACTTTACCTCTTTCTCTTGCTAACTTGACTCAAGTTTTTGAGCTTGATGTTTCACGAAACAATATCATTGGGACATTAGACCCTCATCTTTTTCCTAGTGGCTCTGATCAGCCCAAGAAAAGACTGATAGGGATCAGGAATCTTCTCTTTCAGGACACCCTGCTTGGCGGTAGAATTCCAGATGAAATAGGGAATATAAGAAATTTAACTGTGCTAGCTTTAGATGGGAATGGCTTCTATGGACCCATTCCTCCATCTCTTGGGAACTGTACACATTTAAGTGTTCTAAGAATGTCTGGAAACCAACTCTCAGGCATGATTCCTCCTAGTTTTGGTAGATTGACTAATCTATCTGAGGTGTTCTTACACATAAATAAATTAGATGGTCCTGTACCACAAGAATTTGGAAATGTGTCTTCTTTAATTGCCCTCCATCTTGCTGAAAACAATTTCACTGGAGAGCTGCCACCGCAAGTTTGCAAAGGTGGTAAGCTTGTAAATTTCAGTGCTGCCTACAATAGTTTCACTGGCCCGATTCCAATAAGCTTGAGAAACTGCACATCCTTATATAGGGTTCGGATGGAATATAACCAACTAATAGGCTATGCAGATCAAGATTTTGGAGTGTATCCTGATCTTACTTATATGGACTTTAGCTACAATAGAGTTCAAGGCCAGCTATCTTTAAATTGGGGTAGCTGCAAACAGTTGCAATATCTTAAAATGTCTGGAAATTCAGTAGTTGGTCCTATACCAAGTGAGATTTTTCAGCTGAACCAACTTGTGGAGATGGATCTGTCTTCCAATCAAATATCAGGAGAGATTCCCCCACAAATAGGGAATTCCTCTAGCCTTTCCACTCTATCTTTGAGTAGCAACAAGCTTTCAGGACTGATACCAGCAGGCATTGGAAAGTTGTCTAATTTGCAAAGATTAGACCTATCAGCAAATATGCTAAGAGGACCAATCCCTTATCAGATAGGGGATTGCTCAAACTTGCTGAGCCTAATTTAAGCAGCAATGAATTGAATGGAACAATCCCATACCAA